AGAACTCAAGTTTACATGCCTTGTCTGCAAAATGTGTTGAAACTGAAGTTTGGCACAAAAGATTTGGGCATTTTCATTATTCTGGACTTAAGGAAATGAGGAGGAAAGAACTTGTTCAAAGTATGCCTGAAATTGAGGAGAAGGAAGGGATATGTCAAGTTTGCCAGCAAGGGAAAATCACTAGGCAACCATTTCCAGCAAACCAATCCTGGAGAGCTGCTGAAAAACTTCAGCTTATACACACAGATGTGTGTGGTCCAATGCAGGTGCCCTCCTTGAATGGCAGCAGGTATTTTCTGCTGTTTATTGATGACTTCACCAGGCTGTGTTGGGTCTACTTCCTGAAACAAAAAGGTGAGGTGGCTGCAGTGTTTAAAGTGTTTAAGCAAATGGTGGAAAATGAGACTGGTCTGAGTCTGAAAACCATCCGGAGTGACAATGGTTCTGAGTATACCTCAAACCAGTTTCAAATGCTTTGTGCAGAATCCGGAATAAAGCACCAGTTGAGCTCCCCATACACACCACAGCAGAATGGTGTGAGTGAAAGAAAGAACAAAACTCTAATGGAAATGGCAAGGTGCATGCTGTTTGAAAAGAGACTTCCAAAAGCTTTCTGGGCTGAAGCTGTAAATACAGCAGCTTATCTTCTCAACAGGCTGCCAACCAAAGCCTTGGATAACAAAACACCATTCGAGGCATGGTATGGAGTAAAACCAAGCATCAACCACCTAAAAATATTTGGAAGTATTTGTTATGCTCACATTCCAGCCAACAAGAGGAGTAAGCTAGATGAAAAGGCTGAAACTGGAATTTTTGTTGGTTATAGCAGCCTATCCAAAGCATATAGGATTTACAATCCTAAGACCAAAAAATTCTTGGTCAATCGAGATGTAAAGATAGATGAAGAAGGGCTGTGGAATTGGGACAGAAATGAAATGGAAGTGAGTAACATGCAGGAACAAAGAGAAGGTTTGACTGCTGACCAGGATGATCCAGATTTCAGTTCTGATTCTAAAGCTAAATCTCCAGTCAGGGGAACTAGACCTTTGGCTGAAATTTATGATAGATGTAATTTGGCTTTGATGGAACCAACATGCTATGTTGAAGCAACCAAGGTCAAAGAGTGGAGGGCAACAATGGATGAAGAACTGGACATGATTAAGAAGAATGGAACCTGGGAACTGGTAAGCAGACCTACCGGAAGAAAGATTATCCAGGTGAAATGGATTTACAAGAAAAAAATTGAATCCTGATGGCTCAGTCAACAGACACAAAGCAAGGCTTGTTGTAAAGGGTTATGCACAGCAGTTTGGGGTGGACTTTACTGACACCTTTGCACCAGTTGCAAGACTTGACACCATCAGAATCCTTCTTGCAATTGAAACCCATTTTAAGTGGAAAGTCTTCCAAATGGATGTGAAATCTGCATTCTTGAATGGGTGGCTTGATGAAGAGATCTTTGTAGAGCAACCTGAAGGGTATGTGGTTAGAGGACAAGAGGATAAGGTGTACTTACTTAGGAAGGCTCTTTATGGACTAAAACAGGCCCCTAGGGCCTGGTATAGCAGAATTAATGAGTTCCTAATGAGTTTGGGGTTTGAAAGAAGTCCTAATGAGCATACTCTATATGTTGGAAAGATTGATAATGAAAGGATATTTGTATCCTTGTATGTTGATGATCTGCTGGTGACAGGTTCTAACTCCACTAGGCTGCTGGATTTCAAGAAGGAGTTACACAGAGAATTTGAGATGACTGACTTAGGGGAGATGAGTTACTTATTGGGAATGGAAGTATGGCAGTCTCCTTATGGGATATTTATCTCCCAAGAGAGGTATGCTAATGAACTACTTAAAAAATTTGCAATGGAGAACTGCAAACCTGTCAACACACCTCTGATGCAAAATATGAAACTGTGTAAAAGTGATGGTGCTGCTAAGGTTGATGAAACTAAGTACAGAAGTATAGTTGGGTGCTTGCTATACTTGACTGCAACTAGGCTAGACATTATGTTTGCAGCAAGCTTATTCTCTAGGTTCATGAATGAACCAAGTGAGCTGCATTTGCAAGCAGCAAAAAGAGTCCTCAGATACATTAGAGGATGTCCAGACCTGGGAATATGGTTTAGGGAAGCTGAAAATTTCAGTTTGCATGGTTTCACTGATAGTGATTGGGGTGGCTCCCTAGATGACATGAAAAGCACCTCCGGCTATGTCTTCTTTGTGAATGCAGGTGCCATAAGCTGGAATTCAAAAAAACAAGAGGTAGTAGCACAATCAACTGCTGAAGNTTAGGAACACGACTGATCTTTAAAAAAATTAATAATTTATGAATTGGTCAGATGGAAAACTTATTACAATTCTTAGCATTGATGGTGGAGGAGTAAGAGGCATCATTCCTGGGACAATTCTAGGCTTTCTTGAATCTCAGCTCCAGGTAATTGAAACATTTCATTGAACAATAAGATCTTCTGCACATATATTATATTACTATATGATAGTTCTCCTTCTATATCAAATATGTATTTCTTTTCTTGTGTGGAAGCTGGATGGTAATGATGCAAGGATTGTGGACTACTTCGATTTCATTGCGGGAACTAGCACAGGAGGCCTTGTAACTGCTATGCTAGCCACACCAAACCAAGATAATCGACCGATGTTTACAGCCAAAGATATAAATAAATTTTATCTTCAAGAAAGTCCAAAAATCTTTCCTCAAGAGTCAGAGCAGGGCCAACAATTTATGGAAATTAGAAAGCTAATTAGGATGTAGCAAAGAAAACTGAAGTTTTGAAAAAGAATAAATTTTATTAAAAGGAGTTTATCTGATTTTTGTATATCCTCCACAGGCATAGCTTGAACTGGTATGGTGCAACAACAAATTGGGTGAAATCAAAGTGGACTGATTATGCAAGGCCAGTTTACCAATCAGTAGAGGGGTTCATCGAGTTGGTTGAAAAAGAAGCCTTCTGTCCAAAATATGATGGTGATTATCTGCACAAGAAAATCAAGGAAATGCTTGGAGAGAAATGGCTCCATGAAACTTTAACCAATGTGATAATCCCATCTTTTGACATCAGGCTCCTCCAGCCAGTCATCTTCTCCACCTTAAAGGTCATTGTTCGGTATAATGATTATAAATACTGCGTTCCAGGGAGAGAAATTCTGATTCTGGAGCATAATTTTCTTATAGTGACTTTGCAGGCCAAACGCGATGATGCAAAGGATGCTCCTCTATCAGAAGTCTGTATTGGCACATCAGAAGCGCCATACTATTTGCCTCCCCATCATTTTGAAATGAACTCATCTAGAGGCACCAAGAAATTCAACCTGATAGATGGTGGTGTTGCAGCCAATAATCCTGTAAGTTCTAGTTCATCAAAAATGCTTTTATACCATATGAATTATCTACCACTACAGGATGGATATTTAACTATAACAATTCTATCAGGCTTTGCTGGCGTTATGTGAGGTGACCAAAGAGATGTCCCAAAATAAAAATTCCCCATGTTTGAACGGCATGGATTTTAGCAAGCTTCTTGTTCTATCCCTCGCAACTGGATCATCGAAGAGGGATGAAAAGCTTGAGGTTGGTGATGGAAAAAGTTGCGGGCTCTTCAGTTGGTTTATGGGGCCTAATAATACCACCCCATTATTTGACATCGTCCTTACTGCAATGGATGATATGGTTAACATATACATGTCTGTTTTTTTCCGGGATTCTATCCTCCAAGACAACTATCTTCGCATCCAGGTATCATTTATTCAACTTTGTTTCTTTATGCTAAACCACAGCCATTCTAGGATATGTATGTCAATGACTTTGATTATACTTGAAAAACTGAACATCGGAATATCTTAAAGACTTGTGGAGTTCCAATATATATAATTTCACGACATGAAAGAAACTTTGCTGATTGGAATCAAAATCCTACACCAGACAGATAGCTTGAAATATATTGAAGCCTCCACGGACAACTCAAAGAAAGAAAATCTGGAGAATCTTGAGAAGATTGGAATCGCTCTGTTGAAAAAACCTGTTTCTGCAGTGAACTTGGAAACTGGTTTATATGAACCACTGGAAGACAGCGGCACATATGAAGAAGCACTCGTCAAGTAAGATTATATGATTTGCCTGCTGGTATACTTTGTATTTAATCACAAAAGAACTCTAAATGCTGCCTTTGCATTGGTATTATGCAGGTTTGCTGAAAGATTGTCAGAAGAAAGAAGATTTCGCCTGGCTAATAGCTCTGCTTGACACTTCTTTTACTTCCATGAATGTTTCTGATACGCAAGAGATGCTTTTTCTACTTTTATTTTATATTTTTTTTCTTTTCACTTTAGTTATGAATGAAGAGGACACTTCAACCTGCCCAAGTCACAGTAAGGTTCAGGTTTTGTTACAGAACTAAAGCGACATGCAAAATAATCTAGTCAATTTCTTTCTTAAATAAAATCAATTCTAATGATTCAAATATCAGTTTTGCTATATATTACTTCATTATCTTAATCAATGAATAATTTATGCAATCTACAACTAAGGTTGCTTTGGAAGCACGTTCTCTGTCGTACCATCAGCAAAAAAACTTTCTACGAGAATTGATCTTATGAAATAAGAAATTTTAGAAGAAACTTCACAATTCAGCTAAGTTGTTGAGCAGCAAGTCATTGGTTGAATCCCTTAATTGAAGCTTGCCTGGTATTTGTTGACTTTCCATAAAAGAGCTATTAACCTTTTTATAAAAGTCAATTATTTTATTTCAGAGTTATGTTACTTGAATTACTATCCGACCACTTAGCCTCAACAGTAATTAACCAACAGGCAACAGATATATGGTGTGTGCCCGTGGACAGTCATTTCCTAACCTGATGCAAAACTGATCCTCATCCATCTTGAACATTAATGTCCTAAAGTTTTTCATGAGGATGAAGGTAGTTGGGAGAGGCAAGTTAATGTGGTGATGTTAGTTGAGGATCATTATATTGATTCTTTTGAGTCCTATATTAAGTTGTGATTTCAAGTCATTATGTCCAAGCCAAAGCTTCAGCATTAACAGGAAGTAGATAACTCTCCCTTTTCAGTCTCTTTCTAATATTATAAACCAGAGAGAGAGCTTTTCCGTCATCAATGGCAAACAGTAAGTCTTGCAGCTTCTACTCACGTTATGCACTTAAGAATTATGAACTCTGATTCTTAAAACTTGAATTATGACTGAGCTTTAAAGCAAAACTAATTATGAACGGTCAGATGGAAAACTTACCACAATTCTTAGCATTAATGGTGGAGGAGAAAGGCATCATTCCTGGGAAAGTCTTAGCCTTTCTTGAATCTCAGCTCCAGGTTGGTTGCTCAAGCTTACATCCTTCAACACTATTTAGAGTTCCTTATTTTTATTTTTTTTCTGTGGCTCATAAATGTTATTTCCTCATGAAGCAGACAATGCTCCATTGCCGGATATCTGCATGGGCACATCTGCCGCGCCATTCTATTTACCTCCCCATCATTTTGAAGTGAACTCATCAAAAGGCACCAAGAGATTCAACCTGATTGATGGTGGTATTGCAGCCAAAAATCCTGTAAGTTAGTTATACTTGAGAAAAAATCATTCCATTCATATTGAAATTCGCTACTAATGGCTAACCTCAATTACTCCCCCAACTATTTTATCAGACTTTGCTGGCAATATGTGAGGCAGCCAAGGAGATGTCTGGCAATGGAAATTCTCCAAGTTTAAGCATGGTGGACAGTAGTAAGCTTCTTGTTCTCTCTCTTGGAACTGGAGCGTCAAAGAGGGATGTCGAGCTTGAGGTTGCCGATGGAAGAGAATTGGGACTCTTTAATTGGTTCATGGGGCCTACTAATACCGCTCCATTTTTTGATGTTTTGTTTACTGCTATGGATGATATATTGAACTCGTTGAAGTATGCACGTCTGCTTTCTTCCATGGTCTTAAAGACAACTATCTTTGAATCCAGGTATTGATATAGAATCTCAGCAATTCCTGCCATTTTACATGATAATGTTTATGTACAAATTGGAGTATATGAATGTCTTGAAAATTGTACTGAACGAGACTCTGCTGACTCAGAAAAATTTTCTCACCAGACCGATTGTCTGAAATACACTTAAGTCTCCACAGAAAACTCAAAGAAAGAAAATCTGGAGCATCTGGAGGAGATTGCGAAGGATTTGTTGAAGAAACCTGTTTCACAAGTGAACTTGGAAACTGGTTTACATGAACCAATAGAGAACGGCGGCACATACAAAGAAGCATTGATCAAGTAAGCATAAGATTGACCGAGTTGATGTGTGATCCATATTTGGTTTTTTCTCATAACAAGTTCTCAATGCTTGCCTTTGCATTTTTGTTGTGCAGGTTCGCCAAGAGACTGTCAGAAGAGAGGAGGTTTCGTCAGCAGCACTCCCAGACTAATCTTTGTATGATTTATACATTTTATTTTATTTTATTTTTTCTCTTCTTCACTAGTATCTGAGGACATAAACGCCAACAGAGATGATAAGGCACCGGTTGGTCATTGTTTACATCAAGAAGGCTTCAATGGCTGATGGCTAAAGCTGGGAAGGGTTAAGTTGCAGAGCTCTAAGCTCAAATGTAGCAGAACAGATGCCAAACGTTTAGACCATGTTTTAGAGTGATTGTAGGCATTCTGAATAAAATGCTCCGTTCTATTTTAAAATTGAATTGAAGTTAAAGGCCGTCAAGTTTATGCAGCAGCATAACCAATATATAACGTATAAACGGCTAAGTACAACATACCAATAAAGAGGGCTGAAACATAATCCGATTCTTTATTTAATTATTTATTTTGCCCTGAAATCATCAATTAAAAGGAAAGTACTTGGACAACAGAATCTGATAATTCCAAGGAATCAAAATCCTACACCAGACAGATAGCTTGAAATATATTGAAGCCTCCACGGACAACTCAAAGAAAGAAAATCTGGAGAATCTTGAGAAGATTGGAATCGCTCTGTTGAAAAAACCTGTTTCTGCAGTGAACTTGGAATCTGGTTTATATGAACCACTGGAAGACAGCGGCACATATGAAGAAGCACTCGTCAAGTAAGATTATATGATTTGCCTGCTGGTATACTTCGTGTTTAATCACAAAAGAACTCTAAATGCTGCCTTTGCATTGGTATTATGCAGGTTTGCTGAAAGACTGTCAGAAGAAAGAAGATTTCTCCTGGCTAATAGCTCTGCTTGACACATCTTTTACTTCCATGAATGTTTCTGATACGCAAGAGGTGCTTTTTCTACTTTTATTTTATATTTTTTTTTCTTTTCACTTTAGTTATGAATGAAGAGCACACTTCAACCTACCCAAGTCACAGTAAGGTTCAGGTTTTGTTACAGAACTAAAGCGACATGCAAAATAATCTAGTCAATTTCTTCCTTAAATAAAATCAATTCTAATGATTCAAATATCAGTTTTGCTATATATTACTTCATTATCTTAATCAATGAATAATTTATGCAATCTACAACTAAGGTTGCTTTGGAAGCACGTTCTCTGTCGTACCATCAGCAAAAAAACTTTCTACGAGAATTGATCTTATGAAATAAGAAATTTTAGAAGAAACTTCACAATTCAGCTAAGTTGTTGAGCAGCAAGTCATTGGTTGAATCCCTTAATTGAAGCTTGCCTGGTATTTGTTGACTTTCCATAAAAGAGCTATTAACCTTTTTATAAAAGTCAATTATTTTATTTCAGAGTTATGTTACTTGAATTACTATCCGACCACTTAGCCTCAACAGTAATTAACCAACAGGCAACAGATATATGGTGTGTGCCCGTGGACAGTCATTTCCTAACCTGATGCAAAACTGATCCTCATCCATCTTGAACATTAATGTCCTAAAGTTTTTCATGAGGATGAAGGTAGTTGGGAGAGGCAAGTTAATGTGGTGATGTTAGTTGAGGATCATTATATTGATTCTTTTGAGTCCTATATTAAGTTGTGATTTCAAGTCATTATGTCCAAGCCAAAGCTTCAGCATTAACAGGAAGTAGATAACTCTCCCTTTTCAGTCTCTTTCTAATATTATAAACCAGAGAGAGAGCTTTTCCGTCATCAATGGCAAACAGTAAGTCTTGCAGCTTCTACTCACGTTATGCACTTAAGAATTATGAACTCTGATTCTTAAAACTTGAATTATGACTGAGCTTTAAAGCAAAACTAATTATGAACGGTCAGATGGAAAACTTACCACAATTCTTAGCATTAATGGTGGAGGAGAAAGGCATCATTCCTGGGAAAGTCTTAGCCTTTCTTGAATCTCAGCTCCAGGTTGGTTGCTCAAGCTTACATCCTTCAACACTATTTAGAGTTCCTTATTTTTATTTTTTTTCTGTGGCTCATAAATGTTATTTCCTCATGAAGCAGACAATGCTCCATTGCCGGATATCTGCATGGGCACATCTGCCGCGCCATTCTATTTACCTCCCCATCATTTTGAAGTGAACTCATCAAAAGGCACCAAGAGATTCAACCTGATTGATGGTGGTATTGCAGCCAAAAATCCTGTAAGTTAGTTATACTTGAGAAAAAATCATTCCATTCATATTGAAATTCGCTACTAATGGCTAACCTCAATTACTCCCCCAACTATTTTATCAGACTTTGCTGGCAATATGTGAGGCAGCCAAGGAGATGTCTGGCAATGGAAATTCTCCATGTTTAAGCATGGTGGACAGTAGTAAGCTTCTGGTTCTCTCTCTTGGAACTGGAGCGTCAAAGAGGGATGTCGAGCTTGAGGTTGCCGATGGAAGAAAATGGGGACTCTTTAATTGGTTCATGGGGCCTAATAATACCGCTCCATTTTTTGATGTTTTGTTTACTGCTATGGACGATATGGTTGAAGTATACACGTCTGCTTTCTTCCATGGTCTTAATAACTATCTTCGAATCCAGGTATTGATATAGAATCTCTGCAATTCCTGCCATTTTACATGATAATGTTTATGTACACTACTTTGACTGGACTTGTCAAATTGAAGTATTGGAATGTCTTAAAAATTGTACTGAACGAGACTGCTGACTCGGAAAAAAATTCTAACCAGACTGATTGCCTGAAATATACTGAAGTCACCACAGACAACTCAAAGAAAGAAAATCTGGAGCATCTGGAGGAAATTGGGAAGGATTTGTTGAAGAAACCTGTTTCAGAAGTGAACTTGGAAACTGGTTTACGTGAACCAATAGAGAACGGCGGCACACATGAAGAAGCATTGATCAAGTAAGCATGAAGATTGACTGAGTTGATGTGTGATCCATATTGGTTTTTTCCCATAACAAGTTCCCAATGCTTGCCTTTGCATTTTTGTTGTGCAGGTTCGCCAGGAGACTGTCAGAAGAGAGGATGTTTCGTCAGCAGCACTCCGAGGATGATAAAGTTTCCGGTTGGTCATTGTTTAGCATCGAGAAGACTTCAATGGCTGATGGCTAAAGCTGGGAAGGGTTAAGTTGCAGAGCTCTAAGCTCAAATGTAGCAGAACAGATGCCAAACGTTTAGACCATGTTTTAGAGTGATTGTAGGCATTCTGAATAAAATGCTCCGTTCTATTTTAAAATTGAAGTTAAAAGGCCGTCAAGTTTATGCAGCAGCATAACCAATATATAACGTATAAACGGCTAAGTACAACATACCAATAAAGAGGGCTGAAACATAATCCGATTCTTTATTTAATTATTTATTTTGCCCTGAAATCATCAATTAAAAGGAAACTACTTGGACAACAGAACCCGATAATTCCAATGGCTAAACGAGAAAATATGAGATGTTTGAAGCAACAAGACAACATTCATCCAATCATACATGTATACAAGAATAGGCAGTAATGAACAATGATACAATTTAATTATTAGGTGGATTCAAATTGCAGGTAACAAGCTCATTTCCAGCATCGAAAGTGCAGAATAACTACACAATAGCCATCCAACCCTATATATTTTGGGTAGATATATGAAACTTTAAAAATCAAATAGGTTACCAATCAATATCTACCACATTTTCTCATCATCAATTCTCTGATAATTCGCCACAGTCTTCAATAGCAACTGGCTGGGAAGTCGTCCCACTGTCGGAGCCCACCTTCTCCATCTCCTTAACGACACTATAGCCATCCACAACTTTCCCGAACACAACATGTTTGCCATCAAGCCATGGTGTCTTCTCAGTGCATATAAAGAACTGTGAACCATTAGTGTTAGGACCAGCATTAGCCATTGAAAGAATCCCAGGCCCAGTATGCTTCAGCTTGAAGTTCTCATCAGCAAACTTCGCACCATAGATCGATTCTCCTCCAGTTCCATTACCCCTCGTGAAATCACCCCCCTGACACATGAAGCTAGGGATTATGCGGTGAAATGTTGAGCCCTTGTAGTGCAGTGGCTTCCCAGACACTCCAATCCCTTTCTCACCGGTGCACAGGGCACGGAAATTTTCAGCAGTTTTTGGAGTGACATCTTTATATAGCTCCATCACAACTCGGCCCATCTTCATTTTTCCAATAACAATGTCAAAGAAAACCTTCGGATTCGACATTTTGCCTATCCAATAAAATCCAAACAGAATTAATAAATCAGCTTCTGATTAAATCATGAATTATTACCATTTTCGTCTCACGAACAGAAGCTACAAGCCACACTCAGAATCTTCATGAACCAATTACAAAAAAATATACTGTTAATATCAAACCAAATTCAATCTTCATCAATATCAGAAAAAGTTGGAATCTTGTCCATTAAAATTTTGACTGAAAATGAAACACAAATTCTCAAATACCAAAAATTCTCAAAAATACCAAAATTCATCAATTTTAATATGCAAGTTCAGGGAGTCGCTAAACTGACAATATGAAAATATTAGGGTAAGTCAAGTGATCCAACCCTTCATAAGCTGTATTCAACAAATTAAGCTTCCAATTTTGTGCACCAAAGAAAAAAACAACAAATAAAAAAAGTAGAAGAGAGAACAAAAGCAATGCAGTTATTGAAAGAAAGTGTGTCTAGTGGAAGCAGTAAAAGAAAATGTTAAGCATCCAACAAGATGTCCTGAAGCAACATTGAAAGATATAGCAAAAGGGTATTACTAAAGAGGATGATTTGATGATCTTGCACAGCTTTTGAGCTCACAGACTTTGAAAAAATCGCCTGCAAGCCTTCGATATGTGCTTTTCAAAATAGCCCATAAACACATTATTTATACACGAAGCAAGAGAAAATAACCAGAGATTCATAAATCAAATGCAACAAAAACAAGGGTTAGAATGACCATATAATAGAGAAGTGGAGCACCTTGCAGTAAAATTCGACCAGAGACGATTATAATTTAAGCTGCAATGCACATATATATTGGCAGAAGATTAGGGTTTAGGGTTTATCCAAACTTTGGGCCAGGCTTTTGGGCTTCGCTTCGCTTCGGCCCGATCAATGGCTTTGATAAAACAGTAAATTAAAATTAGGTTAATGGAAAAAATTCACCTTAGGTTTTATTAAACAACAAAAATACTCCTGTGGTTGTTGTAATAACAGAAATACCCCTGACGTTAGGTATTTGGTGTTCAAATAAACGGCAGAGGGGCAATTTCGTAAATATATATTAACTAATTATATTAAAAAATTTAACGATATACTAATAACTCACTAATTAATGGCAAAAGGATTTACCTTATTTTTTAAATCTCGAGGGACATATATTTGATTAAACTTCAGGGGTTAAAACAAAACCCCTTGAAATTATTTTAACAAAATATCAAAATCTCAAGTGTTTATTTTTAGTTCTTTTAGTTTATTTTTAAATATTTGTGATTTTAGGATAAGGGTTTGAATTATTTAAGAATTATTTAAAATTTTTATTAGTTATTTTACCTTTTCTTTAATTTAAAACTGAGTTGTTAATAAACTTTAGCTTAAAATAGTCAAGTTCAAACTATAATTAAGATAAATTAGTAATTGTGTTTAATCCAAATGAGTGAACTCTCGTATTTAACAAGAAAATTTGATTGACACCGGATCTATATGTTAGTTTCTAGAGCTTTTGGGATGAAACTAGTTTTGCGAGTTTTGGAGGGTGTAGTATTAACCTTTAATAGTTAAACTTTAGGAATATAACTTTCGAAAGAAGCCAAACTGCAAGGGGTTGTGTAATTATCAGTATCTGAGAGGGTTTATTGGCTCTTGAAAAACCTCAAGGGGTTTAAAAGACTCTATAAAGAGGGTGTTTAGTTGCTGCAGGAAATTGTTTCACGACCCAAACCCAGTAAGATCTTCTTCAATTTATCAGCTTTAACCATATTATTTGCTTTGGCAATTGTTTCACGACCCAAACCCTTGAAATCATAAGAACATTCATGCTTTTTATGATGACGATGAAGTCTCATTGGTTTTCTTTCCATTTGAATTTCTTGATTTCATATTTTGTTGTCAGGTCCAACCACTCAACATTCACAATCATCATATCTAACTATGTGCATGCTTTTATGGATTAATCAAATAATCCTTATATTTAGCTAGCTATTAGCAGAAACCAGCATGGATTTATGATGTTCACAAACCGACTCACCCCAACCAACCTTCCTTCCTTCCTACACTTAACATTTCAAAAACTCTCCAACAAGAAACTCCTCTCCTCTTCAATTTTCATCCAAAAACTCCCAGAAGAACAACCCCACCAGGCAAATACATTGTCATTTGCTACTCTTCATAGCCATTCCAATCTTGAGCAAACAAAACAAAACCATGCCCTTTTAATCAAAACATTCGAAACCCACTTCAACTACTCCCAGTTTAGCCCCTTGGCACAATACAATTTTCTTATAAGCTCTTATATTAAGAACAACCAACCCGGAACTGCTGTTAATGTATATGCTTATATGCGAAAAAATGGCACTGAAGTTGATAATTTTACTCTACCCACTATACTCAGAGCATGTAGTCAAGTATTGATGAGCCAGTTGGGGGCAGAGATACATGGTTTTGCAGTAAAGAATGGGTTGGATATGGATGTTTTTGTATCGAACGCTTTGATTCAAATGTATGGAGAGTGTGGGAGTGTAGAGTCATCGCGCTTAGTGTTTGATAAAATGGCGGATAGAGATATTTTTTCTTGGAGTACGATGATTAGAAGCTGTCATAAGGGTAGATTATTTGATGAAGCGTTGGAACTTATAAGAAAGATGCAATTTTTGGAAATGAGGCCTAGTGAAGTTGCCATGATTAACATGGTCAATCTCTTTGCAGACATTGCAAATATTGAAATGGGGAAAGCCATACATGCTTGTGTTATGAGGAATGGTAAGAATGAGAAATTGGGAGTTGCTTTAGCCACTTCTTTGATTGATATGTATGCCAAGTGTGGAAATTTAGCTTCTGCAAAAAGGCTGTTTGATGGGTTGGATCAGAGGAGTGTAGTTTCCTGGACTGCTATGATTGCAGGGTATATTCGTTGCAGAAAGTTTAAAGACGGGACTAGGCTTTTTGTTCAAATGATAGAAGAAAATGTATTTCCAAGTGAGATTACAATGCTTAGTCTTATAATAGAATGTGGGTTTGTTGGGGGTCTAGAGATGGGGAAATGGTTACATGCTTACATGTTCAGAAATGGGTGTAGCTTTTCTTCGGCTTTGTCTACTGCTTTGATTGATATGTATGGGAAATGTGGTGAGATTGGAAGTGCTAAAGCTCTATTTGATAGCGAGAAGAGGAAAGATGTTGTGATTTACAGCGCTATGATTTCAGCATATGCGCAAGCTCATTACATTGACGAGGCGTTTGAACTCTTTGTTCAAATGAGGGAGAGTCAAGTAGGGCCAAATGAGATGACAGTGGTTGGTCTTCTTTCACTCTGTGCAGAAGCTGGAGCACTTGACTTGGGCAAGTGGATTCATGCTTACATAGAAAAGCGAGGTGTAGGAGTTGATGTGGTAATGAAAACTGCAGTCATGGACATGTATGCTAAGTGTGGAGACATACATGGTGCTCATAGGCTGTTCAGTGAAGCCACAAGTTGAGATATCTGCATGTGGACTGCCTTAATGAAGGGATATGGAATGCATGGTTTTGGCGATGAAGCTTTGAAACTCTTTGCAGACATGGAGAGATTTGGTATTAACCCAAATGACATCACATTTATCGGTCTCCTAAATGCTTGTAGTCATGTTGGATTGGTTGCAGAAGGGAAGAGGATTTTCAAGGAAATGGTTCATGAATACGGTCTGGTCCCAAAGATTGAGCATTATGGGTGCATGGTAGATCTTCTTGGTAGAGCAGGACTGCTTCACGAAGCTCATGAGATGATTAAAGCCATGCCCATAAGGCCTAACACTATTGTATGGGGCGCTTTGCTTGCTGCATGTAAGCTACATAAGAATCCCTACATGGGGGAAATGGCAGCCACGGAGCTTCTTGAAATGGAACCACGAACCTGTGGTTACAATATCTTGACTTCAAACTTATATGCAGCATCAAATAGATGGAATGATGTTGCAGGGGTGAGAAGAGATATGCAGGATTTAGGAGTGAGGAAAGAACCTGGTTGCAGTTTGATTGAAGTAAATGGTTCACTTCATCAGTTCATAATGGGAGACAGAGCACACCCACAAATTGGAAATATTAAAGATATGCTATCAGAGATGAGCAATAAACTTAAGGAGGCTGACTACACCTAAAACTTCAGTTGTCTCGCAATGCAGATGTTGAAGAGGAAGAAAACAGAGCTATCATGGAGAGAAATCGCCAATGACTCGCAGCTTTTGTACAGCTGCAGGCGTTCTGATCTCGGTTGTCCAGAACCTCCTCATATATGGCAACTTCTGGTGGCAGACAATCTTTTAGCAAAGTGTACAGTAATTTGTACACATAAATCAAGATATTACAGAAATTTATGAAGGGTTTGGACCTTTTATTGATGTGTTCCAAATCAAATTTAGCATCCTTAAAAATCAATTCTTTCATCTGTTCATTGATTGAGAGTTTTCTTTGAGTTCGAAGTAGAGAAACGAGTAGAACACGGAACAACTTCAACTTAACAATTATAAGTTTTTAAGGGCTTGGAACACATTGTGAATGATTGCTACAAAAACCTGTCAGCCTATACCAACTATATTTTCATGATGCCAAACAGAGAAGATATAACATTAGCACGCAAGTTTACATGTGAAGAGAATCAGTCATCGAAAGTTGTACAACTGAAAGCATTACACAATTAAATAATCTGAAGCTCAATGAATAGTTCCAACTGCCTTTCTTTGAATGAATTCGCATCATCGATGACATAGAACAAATGCAAACACATGATAGTTAAGTATCAACCAAGCCACTGTTGAGCACGGCGATCCCCACCACCACCAACAGAATGCCGAATACTAATCTTTTCACTAGCATATTTTTGTTGAAGCCATTCAAAACCATTTACATCCAGTTTCCCAGTTACTGATTTCCCTTGCCTCCTGCGAGTTTGTTGTTCCTTTATAGAAGCCCAAAGTTTCTCAATGGCATCCCTTTGTCGAGCTGTAAATCTTGCTACATTATCGGAGGCATGCTTCACCAAGATGTCTATCACTGTTTGGCACCTAGAAAGAAAAAATTGTCCTCTTAGGATGAAAATCATAGTACTTAAGGACGCTACAAGAGTAAACACAGCAAAAAGTTTTTTTTTTTCTTTTTTTAGTAGCATAAAGCAATGAGCTTACCATGGAGTTTTGTAACGATGCGCAGCAATCTCTAAACAAGTAACCAAGGCTTCTCTCTGCTCCTTGAGAAACCTCTTATTCTCTTCCTCTTCCTCCTTCCTGATAGAATCTGCTGTCTCTTTCTTAACCTTTGTTCTGTCATCTTTCTTTGTTTTGTTAGGGATTAGAGCATCAAGCCCAAATGGATCAGACTCATTTTTGTTATTTCCTTCTGCCAGGGAAGCTGAAAGCACATCCTGCTTACTTTGATCGTCTTCATTAGTTATTTCTGTATCATCTTTCAGGGCCGCAGCTTCCTCAACATCGTCATCCTCAGTTGCCACTGGAAGATTAGATATGATCTCTTTTATTTGTGTAGATGTTTTTGAAAACTACATGAAGGTAAACAAAAGCCAAAGCATGAGCATAAACAGATTTCAGCAGTAATGAAAATAAGAAACGGTATTTCAGTACCACACAACTTTTTCAGGCATGCTTGTTATATCTAATTGCAGGCAGTCCAGGTATCAGGATTAGTTTGATTGAGTTTTTTTTACTGTCCTTTCCTAAACTTCCTAATTAATGAAAGAAATAACAATAGTTGAACGGGAAAAATTAATGCATGAATCCAGAAGAGATCACTTTATCAGACACACATTTATGTCACTTAGGTCATCTTTGACTAAAATAGTAATTACCAAGAGCATCCTACTACATCTACTAAGGTATACATCTAAAATCTAATAATATGCTGCAGCATCAATATGCTCAAAACTGCAATAACATGTTGCATAGCCGGACACTTCCCATCACCAAAATATATGTAGAAATTTTTATGAGTCATGATCTAGAAAGTCTGACAAATAGCCAAAATTGAAGTGCATACCACAAAGCTGTCGTCGGTTAACAAGTCATTCGCTACCACTGTCCTAATTGTCCATGTAGTTAATTGGTTCTTCTGCTTCTTAGTGAGGCACTACAAGAAACCAACATGGTAAAATAACCCTCAAGAAAGATAACATTCCTATATTCTTAAATGGAATATGTCTATATTAAATGAAATTTATATCTTACTTCAGCTGCATCTTGTGCCGCAGAGAACAATGCATGATAATCTGCTCGCACTGAAGCATCCGTGCATGAAGTGGGTAACGACATTGCAGCCTCCAGTATGGCAAAAAAGTGATCACTGGTCCCTGGTTTCACACTTGCAGCCTGAATCATCTGTATAGCAAGCTTCGAAGCCTTACCAAACTTCATGGGGTTCTTGATATGCAATGCTATTTTCTGCATGGCATCAATAACTTGCTTTTGCGAGGCATCTGTTGTTGTTTTAAACCTCAAGGACTTTTGAGGCACAGTGGCTGAGAAACAGCATGTAAAATTTAGGTTCTTTTAACACTTTGATCTAAGTATCAAAATTACACAGACAAGTATGTAACATATCAACAAGCAAACAAAAGAAGATAGAAATCCATATTTGTGGAACACTTAACTAGGTTGTCTAGTGATTAGGACCCATTTTGCAAAGATCTCTGTTATCCAGGTCCATTATAGCTCAAGTACATCACTGGACCTTCTATTTCTTGCGTATTCCTTAATTTTCCAAGTAACACCACATAGCAAATTGTCATTCTGCCCTCTAAAAGCAACAAAATATGACAAAACCTAGCCAACGTAGCATCATGAAAACCTACAAACTAGGAACCAAACTAAAGATCAAGGTAATTTAAATTCTCCATAACCTAATATTAACGCACTAAATTTTGAATTTTTTAGCATTATTCGAGACCTAATGAAAACAAACCTTCAATTACTAACCTAAAATAGCCAAACTATAGAGTTTCCTGTGCAACTAATAACATGACACTACAAAATAAACAACACCCAGATGAAAAAAAGCTAAAGCTATCTAGAAAGCACTTTCCTTGCTACCGGAAAGTTAGTCCCAGCTCAAATTTCTGTTTCAGAAACAAAGAAAAAGAGAGAATCACAGAGAGCCTAGATAATTAAAATGCAAGGAAGACACAATGAATCACCTTCTGGGTTAGACTTGGGTTTCTTGAGGGCGCTTTTGAGGATAGGGGCCGGAGCTGGAACTGGAGAAGATTCTCTTTTCTTCTTGTTTGTTGTAGATTGTTGTTCTTGCTCTGGTTCATGATCTCGATTTTGTTGTTGAGAAGAAGGTGGCGGTAATCCTTCAAATAAATTGTCACCCATTCACAAACACACACTAAAAAACTAGTTCTCACTCGATTCCACCCTGCAAATGAAAACAAACTCAAGCTTTCTGCCCGAAAGAACAGAATAGAAGAGACTGGGAAGGAGGAAATCAACACGATGACCCACCCCAAAAATTAAATTAAAACTAAATAGAATTTGGGCCCATGAATTATTTGAGGTGGGCGGGAGGTTTAAGATTTGGGCTTGAAATTGGATTACTAAATGCACACCTACAGATATAGAAGTGACAGCCTTTGAAAATAGGTGTAGTTTTTTCAAAGCAAATGAAGAAGGTTTGAGTTTAAATAGTACTATCTTTTAGGGGAAATAATACAACCACCGATGGTAGTGCACCGAATTTATATACTGAATAACGTGATAAAATCTTGACCGTTGATTAATTTTAACTTAATATTAATCAACAATCAGGATTTTACCACGTAATTTGGTGCACAAATTCGGTGTACTACCGTTGGTGGCTGTAGCATTACTCATCTTTTAGAGCTTGTATTATTTATTTAGAAAGTCATACTATATATATATATATATATATATAACCTCTCTATAGTGATACTTTATATAATAATAAACTCTACATAGTCATAAAAAACTCTAGTCTCAATTTGAGATAGTTATAAATAAGAATAAACTCCACATTGTAATAAGTTATAATTTTTCTAATTCCCGTCTTAAGGAAAGTTACCTCCACATAATAATAATTATTTATATATTACCAAAAAATATATGTTATGTTACATTATAGGTTTAAGATGAAATAAAATATTTATCTAAAGTTGTTTGGGACAATGATTTATAATTTTAGAGTTGTTACCACATCTTTTACCTTGCTAGTATGTAATAACTTACTAGCATTGACACTTTCTTGTTGAAGCCAAAATATTTTTAGCTTCTCAAGCATGTTTAGAGCTTCATGGCATGAAACTTTTTGTATTTCCGTACTATCATCCTTAGAATTATTTCTTTTATCTCCTTGTCTAATTGTAGCAATGATTTCTTTTTTGGTTAAAGCATACACGATTTGTTGCTCATTTGGATGATCAAGAAAGACATTAGTATCCATTCGATTAGTGTAGTGAAATTATCGAATCTGATCACTCATTTTTGCAATGACTCTTTTATTTTTCTCGTCCAATTCATTTGTAACTTGCAATTCATCAAAATCGAGGGTCCTAATTTTGCAATGCTTAAAACCATTGGCAATTGTCTGTGGCTTCACATCAATTAACCATGCATCAACTGCATTTATAGTTCCATCAATGACACTTATCTTTGCTGGTTCCAAGACACGGTCTTCAATCAATTTCAAAAGTAAGCAATTGAAGTGCTGAATTGAAATCCTAATACTACTAAAATATGAATTGAAATCCTAATACTGGACTACTAAAACATGAATTAAAAAATAAGAAATCAAAACTATAATTTTTGTAATTACACCTCCATTAAATTATAACCTCCTTATAGTAATAAAATTAGTTAGTCCCACCGTTATGACTATAGAGAGGTTTTACTATATATGTCATTAGCTTGTGTTCACATTAAAAGGCTCTAAATTCATGCCTAAACCTAACCCTCAAAATTTGATGATTAGTATATTGTTGCCCATNGGCGGGAGGTTTAAGATTTGGGCTTGAAATTGGATTACTAAATGCACACCTACAGATATAGAAGTGACGGCCTTTGAAAATAGGTGTAGTTTTTTTAAAGCAAATGAAGGTGGTTTGGGTTTAAATACTACTATCTTTTAGAGCTTGCATTATTTATTTAGAAAGTCATACTCCATATATATATATATATATATATAAAGAGAGAGAGAGAGAGAGAGAGAGATGGCCTTGGGATCAAGGGAAGGAGCGCAATGGTTGTGGAATGCGTTTGGGTTTCTTCTTCGGTCGGCCAATGGTGAGCTAGATGGTAGTGGTAGGACTATTAAAGGGATCCAATCCCTGTTGTACACAACTTTTTGGAGAAAAACTTCTTGCCCTTGCAGTCATTCATTCCTTTTTTTTTTTTTTTTTTTTTTTAATAGACACTTGTTACAACTGACTCAATTACACCCACTTTGCCTAATATACAAACGTGGGATACATTGCTAAAGACTAAGACTTGAACAAGGAAACTACCAAGGACTCATGCATTAAAAAAAGGAATTTCAATTCTGGTTCAGGACTCGCATTCGGAATCTAATATGAGTCGTTGTTCCAATTTTAAGGTTGGTGATGGTTCAAGTGAGTGCGTTGGAGGGTATTTCTCTATTCTGGAGTCAGGTTATGTTGAGAAAGGGCTTGATTTGGTTGTTGATCTCGATTTGGCTATGGCTAGGAACGTTCTTCTTCAAAGCCTGCCGATGTGCCATTCTTTGATGGTGAGTGAAGAATTTTGTCCTCTAGTTTCTGGTCAAGGGGGTATCATTCTGTTGGCACCGAGCAATGAGCCTGTGAACCCTTCTGTCTCTGGGTTGTATCTAGGTTGTTTTACGAGTTTGGAGTCGGGTAGTACTTTGGATTATGAAGGAGCTCAACTCTTCTAAGCTTGAGTCTACTGCTACAAAAGACCTGATTAGTTAGTCTTTGTCGGATGGGCCAATTGGTCTTGTGCATTACCTTGGTTTTTCAATCCTAGAAGAATAAGTTGAAACTGGTCTAGCTGTGCAATCCAGTGGGCCCTTATCGTTTGTGATGGAAATTGGGCCTAGATCTTCGCTGTTGGGCACTAAGCCTATCTTATTTAGGCAATTCAAAAGCCCAATTAGTCATGTTAGCCAATTGGGTTCTTCTTCTTCTTTGGGGGTCCTTGAGCCGAGCACCCATAACCTTGTTAACAACCAGCCTACTAATTTATCTCTTAACCTAAGTTCTAATTATGGGGGTTCCTTTTCTGATTTGAATAAAATGTAGGCTCCTCTTCATATTCAGCAAATTCTTGAGGATACTCCATTTAATCCATTGAAACCTAGTTGGGCATTTATTGCCTCTGGCAAATCTCGGACGAGTAAGCTACCTTTACACTATGTTAAGCTGATTGTTAACTCGACAAGAATTATGTCCATCAAACCTTTGGTGTCAATTTTGGTGAATGGAAAACGGCAAGGGGAAATTGTTAGAGTAGGTGCCCTAAAGCCAATCAATTATTGTAAAATTGACTCTGTAATAAATGTTTATTTATCAATAAAAGGCATATTCTTCTATATAGTGTATGTAATGATATATGTCCTTAGGATGGTAGAATCATGATGAGGATATCAAGTGTTTCAAATCTTGATAGTGAGAACCCTATGATCACATATGGTAGTCATTCTAGAAACGTCCATAGCCTTAGTATTATTCTAACCAAGGACACAGATAATACGATAAGACTATCATAGTGTTGAACGACCCTATCGAAAAGCAGTGACTGATTTCACTTGTCAAGGTTGTTTGCCGACAACTTGGTGTAACACATGGGTGCTTGCTAGAGGCAAGTTCACTGGACAGACCCACTAGAGGATTCCATATGGATGGTAACCCTAGTGTCTATGGAATAAATCCTCTAACGGATGGTGGTGCATGTGATCCTTATACTTAAGATCACTGGAACGCCTTGTGCACCAATTGGTGTAGTTTGACACTAACCCAACATAGTTCTATTCAGAGTTATCAACACGGTAGTGATTGGCTACATTGAGAAGTGTATCAGGACTATGGTGGATTGACAAATGATTCATCACTCCTGGGTACGGGAGAAGTTATCTCACTAGGTAATTCAGTAAATGGCAATGACACTAAATCTGTGGCCACAATGGGATTGAGTTGATGCTCAATCCAATTTAATACTTCTGTCATTGGTCCACAACTGAATACAATCATGTCAAGGATATCTGAGGTTGACACTATTTCTGTACCTCGGTCTCGATGAGATAACAGTTGATGAAAAGATTTGATTGCACATTAACCATACCGTTGACGGTCTGTAGTTTCTCTGAATCTGAATCTATCTGGTAGCCATGATGCCTTGCTAGAGGCCAATCTTGGTTTATGTGTAGTGAAACGATTAATTGGTGTTAATCGTAATACTACACACTGCCGATATGAAGAGGGGCCTACGGGTCACACACTTAGAAGATAATTTAAGAATCAATTTGTGAGAAGTGTATTTTCGTCTTTTATGATGAAAGGGTATTTTGGTAATCTCACAGTGCAATTAAATTTACTGAGGTTGTTGCATGTATTTAATTTTAATATTAAAATTAAATTAGTGAGATTATATTTAAATATATCTCTGTATATATTTAAATGAATTATTTTTATTAATTAAATGTTAATATATTATTATACATTAATTGATTTTAATTATAATAATAATAAATTAATTAAAATACCATAAAGGGTGTGTTTGGTTGCAAGGGTGAACTAGGGTTGGAGCCAATGGATATTTCTAAGTGGAATAGGGTTTTAATTGTTGCACTATATAAGTGCAACTTAAAATTAAAACAAATAGAATTATTCATTCAATCAAAACTCTAGCCACCCAAAAGGTTTTCTCTCTCTCTCTCTCTCATGTTTTCTTCTTCAAGTGAAGAAGAAAATTTTTCAATTTTGATTGTTTTTTATTCTTGATGCCGGCAATTGTTCTAGCAAAACAATTGTCGGTTCTTCGGATTATCTTCATATGGACTTCCATGAGCGCGATCCTACATTGGATCGATTAGCAAAGAATCACGTGAACAGCATATGGTGAATAGTGTTTGTGTCCGAAATCAGAAATATTCGAAGGAGCCTCCAAACATACGTAAGTATTCTAATCCTTGAATGAATTTATTTTATACAGATTTTGTTTATAAACATGTAAATGGTATAATCTATACTCGGATCTTGCCAAAAAGGTAATTGATTTATCGATTGAATTTTTTGTTTTCTGCTGCGTTTAGTAGATCAATTACTTACATAAACTTGCCTTGTTGGGTCTTTCTTTGAAAAGAAGCCTCCATTCCATATTGTCCAAGTTTCAGCCATGCATATGTGGAAGAAATACGATATCACTGACGTTATGATGAACGAAAAGATGTTTTTCTTTTTCAAATTTGAAGCAAAAGTCTAAAGTCCATTGGTCAAGCGTTAGCGACCAGAACTCTGCTTGTTTTTTGTTTTCACAAGTCTTTGAATCTAATCATGTGTCTAGACAGATTGAGAGAATCCAAATTGATCACAATTCAATTGTTAAGGTTAAGGATCTTGTTGGTGCTTTTTTTTTATTTCTATAAGTTTCTTCTTGGCACAACTTATCCTGTGTCTCTCATGGTTGGGCATAAAGACTTATTCTGTAAGAAGGCTTTAGAGGTGCAATGTGATCTCATGGTTCGCATGGTAAGTAGAGAAGAAATCAAGTTTGTCTTATTTGATATTGGAGATGATCGAGCTCTTGGGCTTTATTGGTACTCCTCAAAGTTTTTCAAAGCTACTTGGAGTATTGTTGGTGATGAAGTCACCAAGGCCATCTCTAATTTTTTTTTATAACGGTAATCTCCTCAAGGAATTGAATGCCACTATTATCTTGCTAGTGCCGAAGATTGCAGTGCCCCTCTGTGTTATGGATTTTAGGCTTATTTCCTACTGTAACGTCTTATATAAAGGTATCTCAAAAATTCTCTCTTGTTATATCAAAGATTTTCTAAGTGAGATTATTAATATTTCTTAACCTCCTTTTGTCTCGGGCATTGTATAAGTGATAATATCTTATTAGCCTAAGAGTTGTTTAGGATTTATCATTGGGATGCTGGTGTTGCGAGATGTGCTTTCAAAATCGATATTCAGAAAGCCTACGATTGTCTTGATTGGGGTTTTCTCTTGTCCTTGTTGAGGTTGTTTGGCTTTCCTGAAAAAATGTTGAATTGGATCAAGAAGTGTGTTACCTCTTTTTTCTTCTCGGTGGCTATTAATGGTAAGCATCATGATCTTTTTTCTTGTAAGTGTGGTCTTCGTCAAGGGGATCCCCTTTCCCTTTATTTGTTTACTATAGTCATGCAAGTGTTGTCTTTGATTATTAATCGCAAAATTAGAGATAGGGAGAGATTTTGGTTCCAGATGTGAAAAATAGAAAATTAGCCACTTCAATTTTATAGATGATATGTTCTTCTTCTGCTATGGGAATCCTGGCTCAGTCCAAGTGCTTAAAATCCTAGCTCGGTCCAAGAGCTTAAAGATGCCCTCGCCGAGTTCTCTGATTTATCTAGGTTGCTTCCTAACTTGACCAAAAGTTCTACATTTTTTTTGTAATGATTCAGATGAGTATAGAATTATCATCAAGGATATTATGGGGTTTCCCTGAAGACGAGCACCCAGTCAGATACTCGGGGATCCTCCTTATTACCTCTAGGTTGTTTCATAAGTATTGTCTCCCCTAATTGAAAAGATAGAGATTCGTCTCAACTCTTGGAAAAACCAGGATCTCTCTTATGCTAGTAGATTGTATCTTATTCTCTCTGTTCTTGCTTCGCTCCATGCTTATTGGGCTAGGATTTCATTTTACCTAGTTCGATTACTACCACCATTGAGAAAATGATGCGGTTATTTCTGTGGTCTGGTAATGATATTAGTAAAAGGAAAGTTTGTGTTTCCTATAAAGATATTTGTTGTCCTAAATAAAAAAAGGGCCTGGGTATTAGATCGTTGAGGAGTAAGTTATGCTCTTATGGTGTATCACTTGTGGAATGTTGTGAGTGGAAGAGATTCTTTGTGGCTTCAATGGGTTCATTCTTGTACATTGAAAAGGAGAATTTTTTGGAGTGTTTGGGTTCCTTGGAATACAAGTTGGTGTTGGAGGAAGCTTCTTTCTTTTGAGAGATAAGGTACGTAAGCATATTAGAACTTGTTTAGGGGATGTTCAAAATGTGTCTCTTTGATTCGATAATTGGCACCCTTTAGGGCCTTTGGATCGAGTTATTCCTTCAAGACTCTTTTATGAATCTGGCCTAGGTTATGTTGCTTGTGTTGAGGATGTGTTTCATGAGGAGTATTGGTGCAAGCCCCTTAACATTGTTGATTTGTCTCCTATGTTAAGTGTCCTTAATATTCCAACCACTATTATGGGCTCTAGGAGCTATGTGTTTTGGCAAGATATAGATGTTAATAGGGTTAAATTCACTACCAAACTGGTCTAGACAAGCCTTTTAGAAACTAAACCTGTGGATCCTTGGAGCATGCTTATTTGGAATGGGTTTTGTGTCTTTAGGCACTCCTTTATCGCTTGGTTGGCCTTTAAGTATAAACTTCTTCCTCATGATAAAATGAAACACTAGAGAAATTTGGATGACTTTCTTTGTAAGGTCTGTAATGGGGTTGCGAACTCATTGATCATTTGTTTTTTTCAATGCACGTATGCTTAAAAAATCTAGAGTTTTGTTCAAACAAATGATAAGTTTTTTCCTTCTCTAGTAACTGGTAGGATATTGTTAACTGGTGTGCTACTAAATTTCGTGGTAAGAATATTAATGTTATGGTTGGTAAACTTCTCTTATGTGCTTCGGTGTATTTTATTTGGCAAGAGATGAATTATCACACTTTTAAGAATAGAAGTAGAAGTAGTGATCATCTTACTACTATAATTATTGGAGAGGTTAGACTTTGGCTTCACTCCTTTAGGTTTAAGGATAGTCCCTATGTTCGATGTGTTGTCTCTGAATGAAGTCTCCCTTTGGATTGTATAAAAGGGACTTTGGCTGTGGTTGACACTCCTCCTATTTAATATGGTTTGGCTTAGGAGTTGCTAGTTGCTTTGTGTTTTGGAATCTGATGTTGGGTGGTCTGCTCACTACTGGGTGCAAGTTTTCTAGATTATATTGGGGTCTATCTTGTGATTGGCAGAGTGGTGTTTGCTTGGTGTGCCTGGTTGTGTGTAGTCCGTTAGATGATGATTTAGTTCTGCTCCCCTTTTGTGTGGTTTGCTATTCTGTTGGGTTGTTGCTTATGAGGATCTGTTTATATGTTCAAGTTTTGGGTAGGTAGAGTGTCTGGGGATTTCGTTTTTGGTTGGGATGAGATTTTGCTTTTGTTAGGGTTGTTGCCTACGGTGATTTCTTCATGTATGGGTTGATTGTGGTGACTCTTTGGGGCTTTTTTCTTTTTGTCTTCCTGTTGGGCTAAGCTCTTTTTTTTTTAGCATGCACCTACATCCCCCTTTCTTCCTACTACATGTTGTTTCATTCTGTTAATATCTCCACCTCTATTTACCTTGCCACAATAAAGACATATTCTTTCTATTTTGATCTAGGCCCTCAACAATATGTCCCCATGCTATAACACTCTTTGCTCAAAAAAATTGTGAGGAAGCAACCGTAGACATAGAGTTTTGCCCAGACCCAAATGATGACATTCTTTGTCTTTACCTCAGATAATCCTTGGAACATGAAACATGAATGAAAACAAATAAAGTTAAAAAAGAGAAATGTCGTAGATTCTTTATGAAAAAGATTGTTCAAGGCATGCATAACTAGTGACTTATTATTGGTTGTCAAATCGCGTATCGTATCGTGTATCGAAAACCTAATTTTTCGAATCGTGTATCGCGAATCGTATCGTATCGTAGGATACGCATTTAAAAAAATAATAATAATAATAAATTTTTAAAAAAATTAATATAATCCCCAAGATTAATTAAAAATTTTGTGATACTATTGGCTTTAAATTATGGTATTACATAATCAAAATTAATCACAAACTTAAGAATCTATATCATTTCCTCTCAACCATTTATATTATTTCCAAAATCAATGTCAATATCTATATCTCCACTAGTATTATTATTATCATGTAAAATAGGCAACATATCTTCCTCTTCACTTTCTCTGTCTTCATCACACAAAATGGGCAATACATCTTCCTCTTCAACAACTTTTTCTTTAGCTTTTTTTTTTGTTAGCATTCAAGTTCCTTGGTCTTATAAAGAAATCATCAAACCGTCAATATACATGGTACATTCAATTTTTTATTAAAAGAATTGCTAGATTAATATCAAAGTAAGATATACCTCTGGCTCTTTTATCATTAGGAGCACCTTCATCTATGTTGAAGCATTCTTGAACATCCATCCATGAATTATCATCCGTCAAGCAAGGATCTTCTTTTTCCATAATCCACTCATCATTAGATTCTATGTCCAATAAACATATTGGATCATATGCCTCTCCTTTCTCCTCTCTAAGCTTTTGCCCCATTTCTAATTGAAGGTTATATTTAACAAAGACAAGAGCATTCAATCTTAATTTGTTGCTCTAAACGATTCCTTCTTTTAGAATGCACATGTTCAAAGGTGCTCCAATTTCTTTCACAGCACGTGGCACTGCATGTAAGGCTTAAGACTTTTATGGCAAGTGTTTGCAACTCTTTGCACTCTTCTCCATAGCTGTCCCACCATTAAGCTATTTAAAAAAAAAAAAAGAAAAAAGTAACAAACATATAAGCAAACATACCCGGTTGTTTTTTGTCTCTTGTTATTATGGTCATATCCATTCCAAATAATCCTACTCCTCTTTTAAACTTGTCAAGTTGAGCATCAACTTCAACTCTTGTTTCCACATCGAGATACATCTTCTCAATTACAAGTTTAACTTCTTTGTCCGGATTGAAGTTTGGATCATAATGGTACCTAATATATAAAATCAACATAAATTAGATTTCTAAATTCAAATTTTCAAGCAATTTTTATATGGATTAAAAAAAAATGATCAATACTTACTTAGGATTAAGGTAGTATGCCGTTGCATGAAATGGCTTATGAAGTTGAAAATCCCAATGAGTGTCAATTATCTTCCATATTTCTCTATATCGATGCTCCACATTGTTGAAATTCTTTGCAATTTGATTCTTTGCTCTTCTCATGGCTTCATATATGTATCGTATTGCTGGTTTCACATCACCATCTACAAGCCTCAAAACCTCCACTAGTGGATCCACACATTTCAAGGCAAATTGGATGGATTTCCAAAATCTTGTATCACTCAAGATAATATCCACCACTTTTTTCCCCTTAACTGTAGTAGCATGTGTACTATTTGCCCATTCTTCTGATGCAAACATGGACCTAAGAGCTAGTTTACTATCCATAATGCAACTCAATGTGAGAAAAGACGTTGCAAATCTTGTTACTGCAGGTCGTGCTAGCTCTTTATCCTTTGAAAATTTTCTATATAAATTAAGCACCCATGTATGCCTATAAATGAAACTTATGACTTGCTCGGCTTTTGCAATGGTGTCATAGAATACCGTAATCTTTCCAATATCCTCAAGAATCAAGTCAAGACAATGAGCCGCACAAGGAGACCAAAATGGCTTTCTCCTTTTCTTTTCTAACATTCTACCGATAGCTACATAATTGGATGCTCCATCAGTTACCACTTGTACAACATGCTCTTCTCCTATCTCCTCTACAACACTATCAAGTAACTCAAACATTTTTTGAGCATTTTTTAAAAATTCGGAGGTATCAATAGATTTAAAAAAAAAACTGTCCCACTTGGACTATTGACAAGAAAGTTACTCAATGATCTACCCTTTCCATCCGTCCACCCATCTGACATTAATGTGCAACCATTCTTTTTCCACTCATTTTTATACTTTCCAAGTTTTTCTCCCACAAGATCAACCTCTCTCTTCAAATAAGAAACTCTTACTTCATGACAAGTAGGAGGTTTCAATCCCCTTCCCTAATCTCCCACTAACTTTAACATGTCAACAAAAAGAGGACTTTTAACTAAATGAAATGGTAATGCATTGCCATAAAGACACCTACATATACCTTGAATTACCTTTTCCCTATCCTTCACAACTTCATTTAAAGTTCTTTGCTTAGAGTTAGAACCACTTCCTTTTTTTCCCTTACTAAGAAAACTATCAATTTTACCCGTATTTGGATTAACATCTTGCTGTTTAAAAATATCAACCATATCATCATCATCATCATCATCCTTATTAACTTTCTTTGCTTCCAACAACTCTTGAAATTTCATCTTAACATCTTCGGGAACTTGACTACATGGCTTAACTTGGATATGGGTTCCAGCAAGATGATTTTTCATTCGTATTACACCACCCCAATATGTTATACCACAATAGTTACATGTAAGATGCAATCTATTTTCCTCATTTACTTTTTTACAATGCTCCCATGTAATATCATCTAATTTTCCCTTCTTATTTCTCATGATTCAAATCTCAATCTTAATCTAATGGACCAAAAGAGGCTACAAAAAACCAAATGAAGAAGCATAACGTAAGGAAAACAAATCAAAACTTACATACAAGAGGTCTGTAAATTTGTTATCCATAAAACAATGCAACTAGGAATTTCTTGGTATTCTAATACTATATTATTTAATTGTCTCCAGTTGTATTCAACAATCAACAAAGAAATCACTTTTTTATATTCTTAATGTGCAAGACTAACAAATCAAGGTTTTTGTAATATTATATTACAAATCAAATATGTAATGAAAAAAGAAAAAGAGTAGTTTACCTGAATCAATTCGTGTAGAACTTGGGTGACTTTTAGCTTAATTGGTTTAATTGCTGACAGCTAAGGAGTGGGGACCGAGAGGCTGAGGTGCGTGCAACTGCTCTTTCACCATGAGTGAATCTAGCTAGGGTAAAATTAGGGATGGGTAATTTTGGGTGGGTATTAGTAAACCGGGTCGAGGTGACCTGAATCAATTCGTGCAAGACTAACAAATCAAGGTTTTTGTAATATTATATTACAAATCAAATATGTAATGAAAAGAGTAGTTTACCTGAATCAATTCGTGTAGAACTTGGGTGACTTTTAGCTTAATTGGTTTAATTGCTCACTGTTGAAGAGTGGGGACCGAAAGGCTAAGGTGCGTGCAACTGCTCTTTCACCATGAGTGAATCTAGCTAGGGTAAAATTAGGGATGGGTAATTTTGGGTGGGTATTAGTAAACCGGGTCGAGGTGACCTGGATCCGACCCAAACTATTTCAACCCAACTTGACCCGAAAATTTTTTTGGGCATTAGGCCCAAATAAAAAAAGTCATATCAATTTGTATTGATATTTTTAAGGATACGGGCCGATACATATCATATCGTAGGATGCATATCAATGTATTGAAAGGTTTGCGATACACCCTCTGATACGTATCATTGGCGACCCGTATCGTAGGATTCGTATCGCGTATCGTAGGATACTAACAACCATGTGCTCCATTGCCCCTAGCTCTGATACCATGATGTTACAACCTAGGTTATGGAGATAGACTTGGGATCGAGTGAAGGGGCGAGATGGTGGTGGAAATGGTTTGGGTTCTTCTTTGGTCAGCCAATGGTGAGTGAGATGGTAATGGTGGGATTGTTAAAGGGATCCAATCCCTGTTGTACAAAGCTTTTTGGAGAAAAACTTCGCCTTGCATTCATTCATTCCCCTTTTTTATAGACTCCTTTTACACCCAATCACTACTGTTAAACAATCCAAAGAAATAATAAAAAGAGGAGATTAGGGTTTCATTGATACTGTACAATGTAATTGAATACAAAAAGAATAATTTAACCTAAATACAAAAAGACTATATATAAGCTAAACAAAGAAAATAATGAAAAGACATATCTACCCTTAATAAACAATAAAACAAAATAACCATATATTTCTTAACAACTACACTAACATGGGATACATTACTAAAGAGCAAAGACTAATATTTTGAGTAACAAATCTAGTTGGGGTGTTAAATTTTTCTATCATATTTCACATTTTCAACCCAATTCAAACTAGAATGCAATATAATATATTGAACAATCAATACATGAAATTTGAATTGAATTTAAAAGAACTTGTATTCAGATGTGATTTCTATGAAAATTGGGATACACATGATGCTCTCTTAACCATCTTTTAAGAGATCTTGTATTCAGATATATATATTAATATATGAATAATCTTCTTTTTGGCATGCCATATAGTCATAGTGTATATATCTAAACACTTATTTAAATGTAGACTCAAGAATCAAATTTATATTTTGTCAATTCTTTTATTTGATTTCATTTGTTATAAATTAAAAGTTATTAAGTAGTATACGAACTGTTTGATGTCTGCGATATTGACTTATTGTGATCCACTCTTGAAGCATCAAAGTTGGATTAATTTAATCTAATTAGCGTCTTCACTATTTAATTTATTGATGTTTTCAGTGTCTTCTTCCCAAACTTGACATAGTTGTATATTATTTCCCACATTGTACCATTTTGTTCTTAATTAATTTTCTACTAAAACTATACTGGACGATTGTTTTGTTGGAACTTGGAACTTAATGTTAATTAATTTAGAGCCGAGATTAGAAAATCCCTCTAATTTGTGTATGGATATGGCAGCCAGAACTTGATCATCAACATGTTTATTATTTTTTAAAATTTTTTATTTTAAATTTTCTGGAGGAGAATTAAAAACCCATAGTGGGGGCATTTATCTAGGTTGCAACTCACTAGGAGAAATCAGTATTCAAAACGAAATATTTATTAATTTAATTAAGCGAATAAAAAACAAAAGCAAAAGACAATGAGCACACTCTTAAAACATGTCCCAAGAAAAAAAAAAAAAAAAAAATTGTGAAGATCACGGGCAGGGCACCAACCCTATAACAAGGCATTACCATGTGCTGAATCCATTTACTTTTAAAATTTCTAATTCTATAAACTTAGCAGCAGACACCAATTAAATTATACTGTAACTTTTAATTAATTGTATATCACTTTATATAAACCTAAATTTGTCTTGAGATGAAGAGAATCTTAATCCACTGTTTCATTATGTCATCAACCATGACTTGGTATATATAATAGAAAAAACTAATGACATTGAGTTAAAAGAAAAGGTCAATGAATTTCATAGTATTTGTATGAACTGGTAGAAGAAACAATGAGGTGAGGACAATTGAGCTTGTTTAGTTGATGATCAATTAGTCTTTAACCAGTAATCAATTAATAATGTTTATTTGAATAATTCGCCAAGCATACGGAATTGGCCTTTAGTGTCATATTCGATATGTTGGCTTTAATGGCTTTATTCTACAAGAATTATGACCTATTCCGGTGCATGAAAAACGTCAGAAGAGGCCATATTGACCTTACAGAACATCAACTAAGATGCGAAATATGATATACAAATCTGTTGATAAGACTTNTTTTAATTTGAAAGTATCAGTGGATCCTTCAGAATCTATGGGTGCTGTGATAAGCCATTTCTAGTCAAGCCAATATTGCGGTTTGTGTGTTTCTTTATGTTTCCCCAATGGATGTTACTTTTATGAACTAAGTTGTGCACTTCTTTTTTTTTTTTTTTTGGCTATGCAATGGTAATTGTTTGCATTTATATAAATTGAGAGATTTATGATGATATATAGAGAGCTTTTCATTGTGTGTGTTCAGGTTTGAGAGATGTCGCTTTTTGTAGTGTGTGCAATTTCTAGAAGGTTGTTTCAGTTTGTATAGGCTGTCCAGTGTGTGTTTGCTGTTGGGAGTTTTCTGCAGTTTGTGCAACTTTTGATTGTTGGTTACTTTGTGGTGGGTAATGCAGTATTTTGCAGGATTATGCTGCAATTGTGTTGTTGTCGAGGAAGTGCTATAACTTGGTCAAAGATGCAGCAATTTTTGCAGTTTCTATTTGCTCTTTCCGAGAGATTTTGTAACTGGTGTAGCTTGTGCGTGTGTGCAGTTGTTGAAGCTACTGCAATTGTTCTCTGCCTTTGGTGCTGTGTGCAGTCTTCGGGTGTCTGTTACAGCTTGTGTGGTCCATGTTGTTTATGCGTTTTTTGTTTTTAAGATTTCCTTCCAGCTTGTACAGTGTGGATTGCTAGTTTTGAAGTTTGGCCTGTTTTTCTAGTTTTGGTCTCTTGTGTATAAGGAATGTCTTTCCTTGGTTGTCCTCGCTTTTGTAGTTTTGCCCCTTGGGAATGCCCAAGGTTTTTGGTTCTAAAGGGGAGTCCCCTTTCCCAGGTTGTAATTCTTTTATTCTTGTATAAAATTATTGGGTTTACCCCCAAAAAATAAAAAGTAACTTATTATGACTATAATTATGTGTATATACATATATTGAATTTTTTATTGCTTCTTCTAAATATGGATTAGTATTTACATATCACAAAAAGATTGCAAGATCTTCTATACAAAGAGTATGCCCCAAAAACACTACACTAATAGCTAGCAAAATGCAGCATTGAAGTTGCATCCATAACACACTGCACAAACAGCCAATCTTCTTAACAAAACACTGCACTGCATAGCTCCAAACTTACTTCTGGGAACTGCAAAAATGCAGTTTTCTGCTGTTGCATCTCCAAACAAAACTCTCCAGAATCCTTTGTTTGACCATGCACCAACGCCACCCACCACACAACAACAACCAACATACCCAAATACTGCAAAAAACAAAAACAAAGCTGTAGCACCAGAAAATATTAATGAATAAAAAGAGATTACCAACAAAATATTACCTCCACAACATTGAAATGAGAAGAAGAGTTGTCTGGATTTTTTTCACTACACTCTTCCATCTTTCGTACTTTGATGCAACACCAAGACCAAGTTCAAAAAAGCTTTTCGTTTTTGGATGTGATGGTCTGCTGAACCAACCTACACGATCAAAGAAGTTCATTTAAACATACATTACCAATAATCTATATAGACTATTTCATGTATATACATTACCAATAATCTATATACAGTAAAAGAAAGCAAATACCTTTGGCAAGTTGAAAGAGTTATTTTTATAAGTACATCTTTACCATATGCCAGCTTGATACATTTCAAGCCATTCTGTCGTCTATTGAGATTTGCAGAATTCGTTCCAGTTTTTTTGTTTACTGCTTGAAGTTTGCAATAATGTTTATTTTCTCAGACAAACAGATTATTATTGCTATTGTATCTGGAATATATTGGACAGTCCTTGTGTTTCTGGAGAAGTCCTTTGCAAGTCAGGTTCCAGCAAAAGAAAGCAAATACAATCTTATGGGTTTCTATTTTCAGAGCAATTTTTTTATAAATTCAGCAGATGAAAATGATGAGTGCTGGCGAA